GTCCGTCATGATGGCGAGCGAGCCGGCCATGAAGCCACCGACGACTTCGGCAAACATGAAGACGAGCGCGAAGAGGCAGGCCCACTGCAGCTTGGTCTTGGCGCGCAGCGCGCCTTCGTTGAGAGGCGCCGACTTGGCCGGCACGAGCGGCGAGGCTTCGTTCATGGCTGCCATGACGATGGGATTTTGGATTGTGACTCTTGGGATCCGACGGCGAAGTCGGCCCGCCCTTTCTCGAAGGCTCGGCCAATGACTTCGCGATTTGTGGTGGGCGGCGCCGCTTGCACTTCCACCTCTTTTGGGTGCCATGAAGCGCGCTGATTGGTGGGTTCTATTTTTTATTCGCATAAAGAGTACAATACAGCGCGTGGATTGGTCGAAGGCACGCGGATGCAGGCTTTCATGTTTGTAGCAGCATACGGACTACGCGAATTACGGTGTCGACGGCCAACTTGCCGACAGGCGCGGGCGTCGCTACAGCCGACGGAAGCAACGCGGTACTAGTAGTTCGATCAAGAGGCGAGGAGGATAGATGTTATGGACATGGCATGGACGCGCCGTCGACGGCCTTGCCACAGCCGGAAGTCACCGTCGACTCCGGGACATGACCCACCTGCTCTCCACCTCACTTCGGGATCCAGCTGAAAGAAGATGAGAAGTCAGACGAGTATCAGCCAGTCAATTGCGAACCCAGATCACACGATGCACTTCCGAATGGACGTCCTTCAGCTTCGTTGGTGGCGCTTCCTTTCAAAATGGAGGTCGTTTGTTCTTAGAGTCGCTCTATGCTGGGCCTCGCAGAGATGCAGAGAGCTGGCAAGGAAGTTGAAGGCAAGGACTTGAAGCACACAGGGCAGAGATAGAGTATCATGTCGCCGTGACTGATATCGGTCAACGAGGAGCACCGGAAATGCGGTACCGGTATTCGTACGCAGCAGGCGTCGATGTGAATCTGCAAAGCTCGCCTATTGCCAGCGGGACCTGGCAGCAGGCTCCTTTCGATGAAATAGTAGAGCCTTCGCCAGTGGAGTATGGAGGAGGAGTGCACTCGACGAAGGAGGACAACTTACGTCTAAATGACCGTCTAGTGGCATTGGTCTAGTGGGCTCTGTTTTGTTTGCTCGAGGATTGAGCGGCTTTTCACACGGATAAAACTCACGTGAAAATTGATTGTATGTAGAGAAATGCGTGTGTTTTTTAGCGATCAATTCCCACAAAGTGAGAAATGACGCGATAAACACCAATAAACACCACCCTTTCACACACATGACGTGGCGCACCCACACGACAGAATGTTTTCAACATGCTTTTGGTCGATCCAACCACGACCTTTCTACGGTAAAGAATAAAGCAGCGAGGCGAAAGCTCTGTACCTGCTGCGTACAACGACGCACATTGCGACTTCTGGAGGCACTCGACTGTGTCAGTCTTGTCTTGTGCAGCAGAAACCTCGATCTCTCAGCACACGGAGGAGGCCACCCTGACACATGACTCATACTCGTACCTCTGCTAGATTTCGACGCCGCGATGCATAGGTACCTCGCTGTGTCAGCGCATTTTGGAGGTGGAAGCGATGGACCGACACACTAATATTGTAGGCACTCAAATAGTATGCTCGCTTCCACTCGCTACGAAAGCAGAATCTGAAATACAGTGTACAATGGACAGTGTATATCCCAGCGTTTCATCCACTGGTTTTGACAGGAAATCAAAATGCACTTCGGCCAAGGGCATCAAGAGGGACGTCTTGTGCGTCTTCCATCGCCAGCGCCCGCCTTGTCCACCAACGACAAGACACGCAGTGCGCCCAGAGACCATGCATGCCATCGCCTGCTTGCGCTTGACGCGATCTTCCTCGAGCCCGTTGGTCACGCCAGCGTATCCGGTCATAGAACATCCTGTAGACAGGCGATCGCCGTATTTTTATTCCGATGCATACAACTCGCTAGCTCTTGCACAATATTAATATATTCGAAGCGAAGCCATCGCCGCGATCGTTCCCTGTGCCTCTGTGTGGTGCACACCTGCTTTGCCCCGTCGGATAACATGGCCTCCGAGTCGACGC